AAGAAAAGTAGAAATCCAAGTTTGGCATGTGAGGTGTTGAAAGCAGGTTTGCAGCCACTTTGTAAGTTCTGGTTTTTACCTTTAAAAACTACGGCAACATAAAGGTTAATGCTGGAAATCTTACATATAAAATCTCTCTGGTTTGGTTCTGAAATTGTTCTTCCCTGTCCAGTGGGTCTGTGAATAAGCAAATATAAGCAACACACAGAACATAAAATGTTAGATAAATAAACAGTTCAATAAAGGGGGACATACAAGAGCTAAAACTGCCCTTGTGGGGTGTATTTTCAGTTTCTGACAAGATCTTTTGAACACACCATGGTGAATTGCAGAGGATACAGGTCAAGCTAAGAGAAACAGGGCAAGCCCTTTAATAGCTTTAATGGTTTGTAGTGGCTGTTCATGCACAGGTGGCTGGAAAACTTATAAAAAGACCTTCAATTCATTTGCATTTGCAGTCTTGAGCTCTCCAGTCTGAGAAATCACTTGCCTTGTTCTCGAGTTGCTATTAAGACAAGATGTCATTAGAATGACGTTTGTTTCCTTTGGAGGTTTGGTAATCCTTGTTATATTGAAGTATCTCTTCAGCAAGAATGAACAAGGATTTCAGGATTTTCTCCATGTGAATTTTATCTAAAGAGAGGACTCCCTGAGTGTCAAGTGGTGAGATATCTACAAATATATATAAATATATATACATATATGTATTTCTTTCTCCCTTTCAGATTTTTTTGTAAAGGCTGAATGCCTTGTTTGACTTCACAAGATAATAGGATATAGAAATATGTCATTGCCCTAGTTGATAACCAGGAGGTAATAATATTTTGTTGTACAATAATAGTTTGTTGCCGAAAAGAAAAAGACTGCACTGATTTGCTCCTGGGGATGCTCTTTGCTCTGTGTTCCCTCATTCTCCGATTTTTAGCAGCATGCACTTGTGCCCATGCGTGTTGCATCACTTCTCCACTGCCTGCTTTTTGGTTGCTGTTTGTTTTCCGAAGGAACCGGAATTATCCGGTCTCCTGGTTGGGACTGGAATTTTGTTCACTGCCTGAAAAGAAGGTAAATAAATGTTTAGGAGCAGTAGGCACCCTTCCTGACTTCGGGGAGCAAATAAACAGTATAAATAACTGAATATCATTTCCTTGAAATTTAGTCTTCCCACAAATAGTGCGGAGCTATTTTTGTTTGCATTCTAAATTCTGGCACAAACTACTTGGTTGGTTTTTTATTATTTTTAATCTTTCATTTCTGCACTATGGAGTTGGTTGTAATTAATAAATAAATGTGACGCCTAATACAGAAAATTCCCTATATTAAGCTGACTGCTTTGTCCCATTCTGCCTGTCTTGGTGAGTAAAAGTTTGTAGGACAGGCAAAAAACGTGAATTACTCAACCACCTTGTTTTGTATGGAGACAGTAGCCAGAATAGGTGCAGGGGATTTGGTTTCAACAGTGATCAAAGCTGCTCTAACATGATAGTACTGTGCTAAACAACAACAGAGGGTGGTAATGCTGGTGCATGTTTCTTTATGAGACTGTGGCTGTTTACTTGCTGTAACGTGCACTTGGCTTTCATTCTGCGTTGTTATTCTGAAGCAATTTTTAATTCTGAGATTGTCTTTAAACCTTACATTTTACAGAATATATTTTACAGAATATATATACTCGCTTAAACTATATTTACACTTGTGCCTGCAAAGCGCGGCTGAGTTGCAAATGAAAGAGCCATCTGTGACAAATCTCTACTGTGTGTCTAAAGAAAATAAACCGCAAGTGAAAGCAGCACTTGGGCAGGGAGAGGCATGTGCCGCTCGGTAGGGTATCGAGCAAACATACCCCTCTGAGTGTCTTTCCTTTGGTCTGTTTTGCTTGTTGGGGAAAATTCCCCTGTTAAGTCCTCCAAAAAAGGAAAAACAAAATATTTTCAGCTTTTGAAACAAGATCCATCAAGACTTGATCGTGAAAAATTGAATCTGAAGGGATTTTTTTTGTTTTTGTGTAGTGTATCCAGTCAAGAGATCCCCATTGTATCAGAAACCCATATTGTGCTGCTGACTTTGCAGTAAATTGGTAAAAGCAAAATGGGAACCATGCAAAATATATAGTGCTTTACTCATTATAGTAACTTGGTGAAGTTACTAATCTCATTGATCCCACATTTACGTACTTTTTAGTTTAAAAGAAGTTGGCTAAAAGCCTTCTGACTATGAGAAAACGTAAGTTTACTGCATTTCTAGTATTTGCAAAATTGAAATTACTAAATTATCCACAGAAATATTTTGTATTTATGTAGTTGTTTTTTCCAGTATGACCATCTTACTCCTTTGGCTTTATTATACTTCCCTATATATTTTTTAGTTTTTAGAATAGACAAGACATTGGCCTGTACCTGCTTTCTAAGACGTGGGTATTTGTGCGTGGTATTGGCATTCATTTGAGGGTACTTGCTAAAGAGAAAAGAAGGCCATGCTTGTTTGGCCTGATGTTATGTTTCCATAATTTTATGTGATTGCTTCATAGGACTGGCCTCCAGTACGTGGAGGAGAGTATAATCGATCTGTGAAAGACAGTGTTTGTTTCCCAATACGTGTGTTTATATATATACATATATGCACACTGTTTAAGAAAAAAAAACAATGACATCTTGGGGACCTGGTAGCAATTGTGATTGCAATTTAAAGTGCTGCAAAAGGCTGCAAACTAAAATAAATGATACTGTTAGCAGCTGTTTTAGCTATGATCAGTGTTTGGCCACCACCCCTTTTCAGTAGAAACCTGCATATGAATTGCAATTCTATTTTTTTTCTTAAGTATTTTAGAAGACCTTTCTAAAACATTATCAGTTTTGCTGCCAGAAGATAATTTTCCATATTAAACCCTCTATAGGAGGATTAGTCATCCAATTATAGAGCCTGCTGCCTGGTTCAACATACACAATATTTCCTTGTCAAAGCCTTCTCCTGGACGGGAAGCCATGAGATATTCATACACTTACTGTACTGTGCATGACACCCAATTCACCCACTGTTTTTAAGAAGGGGAACTTCAGCTCCTCTGTAATGCAGTGCTGCAGCGTTACTGCTGGGTGCTTCGTGTGTTCCTCTTGCAAACACCTGCATGCAGCATAGATGCTGTATGCATGCTGCGTATTTTACTGGCAGTTGAATGTCTAAATGCTGAATGGAAACTAATGCTCTTTTAACCAAAGAAGGTAAACACCTCGAATTGCAACAGTCTCTCTCAACTCAAAGTGGCTGCAAATCAGCTCCTAAATATTGTCACTGAAATTAATATCTAGATTTAATAGTTCTTACCAATCCTATATATGTTTTTGAAAAAAGCATTGCATTAATGCATGATATAGAAAGGATACATTTGCCTTTAAATTGGAATGCAGTTCAAAGTGACTGAATTGTCCAATTTCAGCCACTATATTTGCCAAAGAACAGACTGGAAAATGGAACTGGTATCATTCAACTATCCCACTTCCCTGGGAGATTTGGGAAAGGGACTTCTACACTGATGAAAGTGATGTCATTTATTGATAAATTATAAGGATAACTAATTTTTTCCCGGCTTCAGTTAGAAATAGCTACGTCTTTAATTTCATGTAGTGCAGAAAATGTTTAAGAAACACTGTCTGTCTAAAACGTCTTGAGCAGCTCCCTGATTGCTTCTGTAATCACCAGCAGGGTGGTTTGTAGGATGGTTTCCCAAGTTTTGCTTCTGGTTAAATAGAAGCTTCATAGCTGAACATATTCTTTATTCAGGTACTTTTAATTGCTTGAACTGAATAAAATAGTTCAAACTACTTAGATTTGACAGATTTATATAATAATTTAGATTACTTTTAAAGCCCCAGGCAACAAAAATGAAGTCTTATGTTTCTCTTAACAGAACTAATAATGTATTAGTAATTGAACAGGCATCCTGTATAGCATTTTAAGGCAGGCTTGTCTGCAAGACTAAATACTGTCTGCAATACTGTTAATTTCATAGGATGTTTCTAGCAAAGCAGAAGTACAGGGACTAGCCTCATTTTTTGAGAAAGCTTAAATCTAAAGCTTAAAACTTGTTATTTATTCCTCAGTGAACTACTATTAAATAAATAATTAAATAAACAAGGCCTGTGATTGTGCTTCTTACTGCTTCTTCCGATAAATGTTACCCTGGGCTTCTCACTGATTTTCACATAAAGTGTCTTCAGTGGGAATGATTCTGCTGCTCTCCAGGAATCGCTGGGGTTTTCTTTGATAATTTGCTTGTCGTTCCACATGTCTAAGACCAGTGGATCTGTAGGACTCCCAGGGAAATCAATCACAGTTATTTAAGGTCCACATTGAATGTGAGTTTTTAGGAGTCTGTCCCAAATTCAATTTGTAATGCTGGGACTGTGCAGGGAGCCCAGCTATTAAATTCCAGTAGTTGTAATGTGGAATCTCAGGGACTGAAAGACCAAAATTTCAGGTCCTCTTGTGTCAGCATGTCACCAGGGCAGATATTTCATCCCTATTTTGCACCTGCAGAATGAACAGCTATATCATTATGACTGATACCAGTTCCATTTTGCCTACCAACTCAGTTGATTTTATATTTTATTTCTCATTTAAGATGGAATAATCAGCAGCTCTTTTCTCATTTATTTTCTCATATTTTTATTCCAGGATTTGCCTCTGAAGCAGGGAGTGTCTGCATTAAAAATGACCTGTAGTTCTCTGCTTCATAGGTTAGAAACTTATTTTAATATTTCATGGCTAAGCACAGTCCCGTCTTTTCAAAAACAAAATTGAGTAATAAATGGTTTAATTGGCATTGAATGTGGACTATTAGCATTTTGCATTGGGGCTTCCATTATTTTAGATGAAATGGCTTATACTGAAATAATTAGTCCAGCTGACAATGAAAGCTCTGTTTACTTGCAGCCATTTTTATGAATTAACTATAATTTTAAAAATGCTGATTACAACACAACGCATTAAGTCTTATTTGGACATTTCCAAAGCACTGTATCCGTTAGGCTGTATTGCTTTAAGCATTTACATTCTAAAACTTTACCAAATTCCAAATATTCATTGGGGGAAAGAAATCAGTCGATAAATCACTTTATTTCAATGGGACTGCTATAGCCAGCACACGTAGAAGCGTGTATCTTGTATTTACTTCTGCATTGTACACCGCAGATGCTTCTTCAGCTCCTTCCTCTTCCTCCATGGGCGGTGCTTGCAGCTCCTTTACCACCTCTTCCAGTCCTACCATTTACTCTACCTCAGTCACCGACAGCAAGGCTATGCAAGTGGAGAGCTGCTCCTCAGCCGTGGGGGTAAGTAACAGAGGGGTAAGTGAACAGCCGTTAACCAGTAACGCAGCCCAGCAGCAGCAGTCAACGCCGAAGAGACACACAGTCCTGTACATCTCACCACCCCCCGAGGACTTGCTGGATAACAGTCGGATGTCCTGCCAGGATGAGGGCTGTGGATTGGAGTCAGAGCAGAGCTGCAGTATGTGGATGGAGGATTCACCCTCCAACTTCAGTAACATGAGTACCAGTTCCTACAATGATAACACTGAGGTGCCACGTAAATCACGCAAACGCAACCCAAAGCAGAGGCCAGGGATCAAACGTCGAGATTGTGAAGAATCCAACATGGATATCTTTGATGCCGACAGTGCCAAAGCGCCTCACTATGTCCTTTCTCAACTCAGCACGGACAGCAAAGGCAACTCAAAAGCAGGAAATGGGTTGGTATCTACATTTTTTTTTTTAAGTTCTTTCACCATGTATAAAAACAAACTAATAAAACTTCCCTCCCCCCTGTCGCCCATCAAGCGTTCTGCTCAGGTTCTCACATAAATCCCTTCCTGGCCTTCTCCTCTGCGTCCTAGCCCATGACGAGTTCTCATTAGCTTTGCTTGTCGTTATTTGAGCTAAACTTTCCTGTAGCGATTGGACACAGTACTGATAAGATCATCTCTATTTTTGTTTACATTCCATTTATAAAATGGCAATGAAAAAGATACAGTATTTAAAAAGCAAGGCAGAGGTGGACTGGGCATGTCCTAGACCTTGCAGTGTCTCAAAAAAATATGTTGTGCAGGAGTTTATGTGAGGATTTCAGTCTGCACTTCATCTGCTTTTGTTTTGTCTCTTTCTCCATTTACCAATGGAGAGAGTGATAGGAATGGAATCTGATGGCTTGTCAAGACTTCTCATCAGTTAAATTAGCATATCCATTTTTTAATAAAATGTTATATGCTGAACCAAATTTTGTTTCTTTTCCGTGTGAATTCACTTCTGTATTTGATTTTTTCAGAAATAAATCTCTAATCCTGTTTCTCTGTTTGCTTTTGGGTTGTGTGCATGTGTGTGTCTGTACGTGGGCACACTTGGGTGACGGTCTCTCATCTCTTCCACTTCACACTGTTCACTAAATGCATTTCAGTCGTTTCTTAAAGAAAAAATAGGTCCATCAGTTTACAGTAGTGGCTTTGTTAGTACTTACACAAAAGTCAAGTGCATAGATTGGCATTTTTTATTTTGGAGGGGGGGAGTTATTTAGTTTCTGTTTTTATGTATGTGTTTACAGTATGTTCTAGTGTTCATCATGGTAGTGGTGAATGTTAAAACTTCACTGATGGGAAATATTACGAATTTTGCATATTCCAAAGGAAAGGAGCCTGGAGTCTGTATTCCCAGGGTCATTGCAGTTCCATACTTAAAATGTCACTGTGAGAAACTGAGAAACTCTCCAGAGTGCTGCTGCTTCCGCGTCTGGCTGGTGCATCAGCTGCAAAAGGAGTTAGGGCAACGGTGGGACGGTCGGTGCCGTCACCCATAGAGCTTCCGAGATGGCAAATGCAGCTGCAGTTTGGGGGCCTCTTTACAGCGATGCCCTAAGCGGGCCTGAAGCTGTCCGGCATCTCCCCCTTTAACCACTCAGAAATCATAGTAGAGTAAAACGTTAGTCCTTGATAGATTCTGAGAAACAATTTGAGAGATTCTAAGAACATATATGAGTATATGAAGAAGTTCTTGGACCTGGAAAAGTGCAGCCACCAAGCGCAGAAATCGCTCCATCAGTTACAAGGACAAACACTGGAGTGGAAGGCAAGAGCTGTGTGATCATAAATATAATCTCTAGACAAAACGGGGAGTAAAATATGGAACAATAGATATGATCTCTGATGTAAAAGATTGTGAGATCTTTTATTTCCTGAAGTATTAGAAGCTAACCAACACATGTTATAAAAATGGTTTTATATTAATCTAACCTTGCATTCTTAAAATACTGATGGCAGTATTGATTACTGGGTCATAAATAGTGTGGATTGAAATGTAGCAAAAACCTAATGTATTAGAAGTATTTTTTTAAATAAAGGCTCTGGGATAAGGAATTGTGAATACAACTTAAAAGTTAACTTTGCAGTTAGAATATGGAGATTTAGCACTGCAAATCTAGGTCACAGCAGTGACTAGATTTTTTTTACTTTCCAGTCTAATGGAGTACAGCCAAGTGAGTTAATTTATTTTTGGCTTTAAGAAAAAAAAAGCAGGGAAAGAACACTTGCTAATTTGTGAAGAAATAGTGGAAATAGTGTTACCCCCAGAAGAGGCCTTTAGTTGTCTTTCAGAGCTAGAAAAAAACACTGCAGCAACCATTACAGTTTATGAAAGCTTTCTTTAAAAAAGAATTTGAATTGATGGAGATTGAGAGGAAAGTCCTCATATTTCAGTCATGTTTGGTCTCGCTTTCACTTTCAGGTCTTCATTGGGACAGCCATGAAGCAAGTGCAGGACCAGACAAACATTAACTTATTAAATCTAGTCTAACAGAAGCATATGGATTTTGACAAGTTTTACTTCTTTTTAAGAAAAGAAGTGCTAGCTTTGAGGAGACCTTTTCTGGTAACCATTTAGCTAATAAATAATGATTTGTGTGTGTGAAATACTACTTTTGCTGTTCGTATGTACTTGTCTGTTAGTAGGATGAATTGACTAGATAAAAAGGATGTGTAAATGGTACAGCCTCGTAATTGGAGGCCAATGAGAAATTCTAATGATGGCTTTATGTTTACTTTCCTGCTTTTATAATTTGATTTAAAGTGACCATAATTTCTAGACTCTAGAAGGAAAAATTGCCAATAACTGATAAGTAACATTTCTTCCCACAAATGTGGTGTATAAAGTATTGTTATATCTTGGCAACTAAGTAATTTGGGTTTAAAAGCAAAGGAATTTCAGGAAAACTTTGAGAGGTCAAATTATTAGTGTTACACTGCTTTAAGTCTTTTGTTTAAATGCTTAAAGTGCATTTAATTTTGGTTGCCTTTCTGACTCCTGCTTTCAGAATTCAGTAGTATCTTTAAGTCTTCTGCATTGATTTGCTTGCTGGGATTTGCAAGTGTGACAAAGTCAGATTGAGCAGTCCATATGATGTATTTATGCTGTCTATTCTCCTGGGAAATTACAAAACGTAACCTGCCAAAATGAGGCAAAACAAACGTGATTTCCAGACTCGGAGTTGGAAAAAAGCGATCATGTCCATCGTAGCAGAGTCTGCTCAGCATTCCTCCTCTGCTTCTCAGTGGGAAGCTAAGAGCTTTCTAGTTGTATAATTTAAAATTTTGAATAAGAAAAAGAGAAAACATTGGTTGAAAGTTAGTAAATGTGTTTCTTTTAATTGCGAGAGTAATGGAGTAAATTGGAGCAATGCCCTGACAGGAAATGTGGTGAAAATGATAATCTGACAATCTTGAATTCAATCAGTATTTTTATATAACTTGCAGTAACAAAGAGTATGATGCTGTTAAATACAGCTTATTTAGGATATCACAGGTTTTGTATATGCTGCATAGGAGGTGAATTTTGCCTGTATTTTTTTTTCCTAAAAGAAGGCATGTTTTGTATAGCTTTTTTAGTCTGTTTGGTTAGACTGTGGCCAAATGATGTGTTTTCTTACAGTTTGTTTCAATATATATTTTTAACAATCTCCAGCCTTCTCATGTTGTTGGTTGCCCTTCAGAGCAAGCCCCCAGAGCAGTCGAGGTTGGCGAGGGAAGCGCCCTGAGCCCTGCGCTGTGCTCAGGCTGCCCCAGCTGCGGGCTCGCCAGGCAGGATCAGTCCTAAGTGATTGACCTTCAGAAACAGAAAGGAATTGGCACAGCCCAGGAAACCTCCCAACAGCTCAGCAGCCTGCACCGTAGCCCTTTTGCGTGCTGTTATACAAAGGTGTTGCAAGGTTAATTAAAAGCAGGAGCATCACCAAGGGAATATGAGCTGTAGTTCAGTCAGGACAAGATCCTTGTTGTTCCCCAGAGGAAGAGGAGGTGCTTTTTGCAGGAGAAACGCCGCTGGCCTGTGCCACGAGGCCTCGCGCTTGCCCTCTGGCCCTGGCAGCTTTGGGGAAGGAGTTTTTGCACCCCTGTAAATCAGCTGGTAATGGGCAAAGTGACAGTGTAGGTTACTCCAGCTTTAGGGGCAATGAAAGAGCTATGTTGTGGCAAAACGCCCAGCACATGATTTAGAAAGGGGGGAGAAAAGAAAATGACAGAAACACTTCTTTCACCATTCTCCTTCAGAAAAAGTTCTCAGATAAATTATTTTTGTAGATTGCACATTGAAAGAAATTTGATTTTTAGACAGTTCACACCTGTTGTTTAAACTGTCGTCTTCAGTCATTAAAGGTTAGAAACTCCCTTTTGGCAGTAAAAATGAATACTGCTTTCTGCAGGAACTCCTTGAGCCCCTTCTTGTCACGTTTGCCATGGCATCTTTGTATTTGCTGATGTTAAATGGCTTTACCAGACTTCAGGCTAACTAGATGAACTAGTTATGTATAAGGTAGGCAGTTATTCTCCCCTTTGTTAAAAGTGGACACAAAATTGATGAATTACAGAAAGTTATACTTTGGAGGGCTTCTTCATGCAGGTTTTAATTATGGAACTGATCCTAAGATACAGTACACTGCAAGATACACTCCTGGGAAGAAACTATCTTCTTGCATATATTGAAGCTTTATAGTTCTTGCAGCTATATGAGATTTTTTTTTTAATAAATGCTTTTTTTAAGGTAAATCTATCAATTTGTTTTGATAGAAAATAGCATTTGAGTTTGCATTAATATGCAAGTTCAGCAGGAGACAGGCATGAGGCTGTTTTCCTGTTTGAAGAAGTGGTATCATTTAACCTTCAATCCATTCTGTGTGTGTGTGTATGCATATAATTGTAATAGAAGTAAAACAGTTTATTCAGCTGTGTCATATGCTATGAAAATAGCAGATTATAAGACTGCTTTTGTTTATTAACACATTTGAATGCTAATTGCTTTTCCCTTCATTTGTGTTCGCACTCTGAAAAGCAGTTCTTTGCAGTGAATGGAAGGGAGCAAGGAAGCACCATTGCTCTTCATCCTGCAGGTTTTCTTCTGTGTCAGAAAAGAATCCTAAAGTTCACTATAAGTCATCTATTTGCTAATATGTACTTTTATCTTTTTAGCTTTCTGTCATTTAGTTTGTTTTTGTTGGGAAGCTGCTTATAACATCATTTCAATGGTCTGCTTTGATTTCTCAGAGCATCGGAGAGCCAGAAAGGAGCTGGAGGGAAGAAGACCCCAATGTTGTGTGGTCAGTATCCCACTAAAAGTGAGGGGAAAGAGCTGAAGATAGTGGTACAGCCGGAAACGCAGCACAGGGCTCGTTACCTGACCGAAGGCAGCCGAGGCTCGGTGAAAGATCGGACACAGCAAGGTTTTCCAACTGTAAAGGTAGGCTGTTTAGTAACAGCTGATGCAAGAGTCCTTTCCAGTAGATACTTTAGTAGAATGGGAACTGCTTCGGTACAAATAAGGTTTTAGATGGAAGAGAGGAGACTTTTCAGTCTCTTCATGTACAAAGAAATTAGTTTTTATCATGAAATAACAGAAAGCAGGAATGTTTATGTCAAGACAAAGATTGTATCATCTGTGGTGCCTGTTTTGGCCTGGCGTGGGTTACTGCACGGGCTCCAGTTTGCTCAGGCTGTGTTTGTTTGGCATGGAGCACCTCCTTGCAAGAGCACGTCTTTGACCGCGTGTCTCCTCAGCAGTGTCTCCCTTGGTCTGCTCCAGCATCTCCCCACATGTCCCTACGTGTCTCCCTACCTGTCTCCTCTCCAGCAGCTGCTGCCCTCTCTTGATGCCCCTGCCAGCTCCGAGATCCTTGTGTGCCCCTCTGGGTTTTGGCACGCGGTGGAGCGCTCACGCCGGGTTTGGAGCTGGCTGCAACGCTTGTGCTGGGCACACAGCAGCTCATGGGCTCCTCCTGCACGGGTCCCCCGGCTGCCTCCGGCTACCGAAACCCAGATATTGATGCCCAGCACAGTGTTTATGTGTGGGCTGTATTTGAGCTCACGTGCAAGCTGTTAGGGTGCTCGTATGCAAACACAGAACTCAGTACGAAGGAATATAATGAAGAAGCTGGACTTCTAGATAACTCTCTTACATATAGGAAGGATTAAAAACCTTTTCCTCTCATTTGCTTAGTTAGGCCACTTTGTGAAAGCAACAAAGCAGTCCTTGACAAAAACTAATATACCAGGTCCACAAAGAAATGTCTAATAATTGTACATGCCATAATTATTGTACAGACCTTAATCTCTGTGCTGACTGCAGCTGGCAAAAGCGGTGTATAAACATATGTCTTTAAAGCCCAATGTGACTGTGTTGCAAGCATCTCCATCGCTTTATCCAGTCTTCATGAGCAATGCGGAAAACCAGTAAAGTTTCATAAGAAAAGAATCCATTCATATGCCCGTGTTGCTATGGTGATGCAGTGCTCATTTATGTGGATTTTCTTAATAGGCCTTTGTTCAGCTGAACTTCCTTTTATTTCCTCTGCCCGCTACCCATCAGCACCCAACAGTGAAAATTCTCTGTTCGGAGGAGTCTCATGTTACTGAACTTCTGGAAGCTCAAGCTTGCTTTACCAGCAGGCAAGGCGGTTCATACCCTGCCTACCTAAGCCTGGCAGGGTTGGACAGTCATCATGAGTCAAGTGCTCTTCAGCGAATGTGAAGGAGGGGGAAAAATATATAAAGAACGGGGGTTTTGTGTGTTGAATGAGTGTAAATTGCTGCTAGTTCAGTAGAGGTCTTGTGCCTGGTCTTTTCCCATAGCGCCTGAGGCAGACGGAGGAGAAGCAGCTTCTGTGGTCCTTGTTAGAAGAACAGTAGGCTGTCTCTTTGAATGATGTATAAGCTCTATGAACACAAATGTATGTGAATGAAGTGCATGGACATATACATGTGGAGAACAGCAAGAGACCAGAGACCTTTTATATTTGCAGTACCTTTAGGAGGGGGATGCACCCTTTGTAGAAGCTGATGTATAGATATAGGTGCTCATTGCATCAGGTCCTTCTGACCTCCTGGTGAAGTGGAGCTCGCCCTTGTCTGGCATTTTCTAAATTAAATGGTCTCTTGCTTGTTTGCTGTCTCTTGGCTTTTGAGACCTTTGGCATGACCTATACTTGTCAGCCCATGGTTCGCAATGGGAGCCTGTGATAAGCCATCTGTAACAGTGACGATGCACCTACCTGCTGGGAAAAGGCTTGTTTCTTTGGCAGGTAAGGAGCATATATATATATATATATATATGTATAATCTTGCCATTATCTGCTGATTTTTAGAACTACCTGAGCACTCTGGAACTCCTGGTTTACTTCATGACCTCTTTCTCTATCAGAGTCTTCTCAATAACTGAACAGACATTGCTGTCCGGTTGAAATAATCTTTTTTCTTTTTTTTTCCCTGCTTTGTTTTAGCTGGAAGGTCACAATGAGCCAGTCGTGCTGCAGGTTTTTGTGGGCAATGACTCTGGCCGAGTGAAACCACACGGCTTTTACCAGGCCTGCAGAGTAACTGGAAGAAACACAACTCCCTGTAAAGAAGTAGATATAGAGGGGACTACAGTTATTGAGGTTGGACTTGATCCTAGCAACAATATGACACTTGCGTAAGTAATTCCTACTTGTTTGTTTGTTTATATATGTGTTTTAATTTACTACCCTATTTTCAGAAACTGATTTTCCTTTTTAAGTTAGTGGAGCTGATGGTGTATTAACAGCTGAATGTGTGAAAATCTTGGTACACGCCAAGCATTTAGTTCAGCCGCATGTATAAGAAAAACTTCTAAACTCCATTTTCAGTTTTTATTATACTTAATTTGGCAGCATGAAAGTCCGTTCTCCATAAATCAGAAATCAGATGGTCCCTGTGCTTTTTGGTTGTAGTGCCTACAATCCTGTTAAAGCTGCAGTATTTTTTTTTTTCTTAACATTTTGGAGAAAAAAGAAAAGTCCCACGTGCATGGGATGGATTTCTTTCTGAAGGCCGGCCCTGCGCCGTGCCCTGGCCCTACGTGGTCCTTGCGCTTCCGTACGCAGGACCATACATAGGTGTGGGGCATCTGTTGCTGCCTTCCCCCAAGCTCCGCTGCTTTCTTCTACTACAACTTTAAATGAATGCAGATTATTTTGTAATAATAATCCTACAGACCCAGAACTAGAGGCAGGAATGGGAGAATCAAGATCTATGGTGATAAACTGAATTAAGTTTCCTGTTTTATGCATAGTGCTTAACATATTCCTTCCTCTGCTGTGATTCAGCATCCCAGTTAAGAAGGGTACATTGAAAATAGAGCTGCACAGTGAGAAAATTTATATTAGAGATTTCATTTAAATCAAAAATCTCAGAATATTTCAGTAATTACTTTGTTACAAGATTTGTTTTTTAAAGATACAAAATTTATAAATCTCCATATATTGGTAAACTTTTTTTTTTTTTTTTTTTTTTTGAAGTCATATTAGACCACTGACACTGATGTTGTGTGTTGTTAGGGTTGATTGCGTGGGAATACTGAAGCTGAGAAATGCTGATGTCGAAGCCCGGATAGGGATTGCTGGTTCCAAGAAAAAAAGCACACGTGCCAGGCTGGTGTTTCGCGTTAACATCCCTCGCAAAGATGGTTCAACTTTGACTCTTCAGACACCTTCCTCCCCAATTTTGTGCAGTAAGTAACACGCTTTCCAAACAGCTTTTCAAAGTTGCTGCAATTAGAGGATTCTGGATTTTAATATGACTGAAATCAAATACCTTATAAAAAAGAAGCAATATTAATCTATGAATATTTCAGAGTAGCCATGGATGAGGTCTCTTTTTTTAATGGAACGTTTAAAAATTGCTTTTAAAATGCTGATTAGTCGAATCAAATACATTAAAAAATGTTGCACTTTGAAATCTTATAGTTTATGATGGTTGCTTTGAACTTGAGCTTTTGATGCAGATTTTAATCTCTTTTGTATTGTCGTTTTCCCCACTCCGCTTTCAGAGGTGGCAGTGCCTGGTTGGAAGCTGATAGCCATGGCTTTCTGCAGCTTTGACAGCCCATTGGGCCACAGAACAGATCAGTTCTAGTTCAATGCAAAAATGAGTCTTTTTGTAGATATAATTTAAAATGCCTTGTTGAACACTGCCCTGCACAGATCTCTGCTCTATTTATGTTGCACTGGACACCACAGAAAATGGAATCAGAGACTACTGCATCAGAGGTTGTCCTCTGTGCAGAGAGCCAAGCCCAGAGATGGTGGCTAATGGCACAGGAGCCTGCACCCTGCTCTACCTTCACTCAGGGAAAGAATAGGCTGGGAAACGTTTTCCCTGTTTTTTTTTTTTTTTTTTTTTTTTGGCAAGGGAAGCTTATCATCTCCATTAAATTTCTGTCTTCTATGATTTTCAAAATAAGGAGGAAATTGAGTATAGCTCACTACTGACTTCCAGTTGTGGGGATTTCTATGCATCTGTCCAAGAGAAAAGATCAGGAAATGATGAACACAGCCAGCAAAGAAACAGACTGGAAGTGGAGGTGACTAAAAAGGTATCAGGGTCCCCATGCGACCCCAGCAGTGCGTGTGCTCCTGTTGGGCATGTGGGAAACAGCCCGGCTGTCGCTCCGGCACTGGAGTCTCCCAGAGAATCCCTCGTGCAGGAGCAGTGTGGAAACGCAGTGAAGGTTGGACCATGTCCAGACAAGGGCCGTTGCTGAGCAGAGAATGCCTCTGCTGCTCTCTTCAGACTTGTTTCATTGCTTTAGGCCATGGGGTGCTTTTCCAGCAGCTTTAACTTGAGGCATTCCGGCATTCCTGGCCTCCTCTTTTTTTTTTGACTCCTTCCCGTGCAGAGGATTTTTTTTTTTTTTAATCCTCCCCAAGGTTTTAAGAACTGGAGTAATTACCCATTACCCCATGACCCATTTTATGCATTTATGTTGTTGGAAAACATGTATGTACATTTGCTAGAAATGTTTAGGTTAGCTGATTTACATATTCCACATTTCATGGTGGGTTTATCATGTGCTTTAAAACTTGCGATGCTGTCAATATATTCCTGGAACTAAAGGAAAGACATCAGTGGATGCAGATCCTTGATTTAAGGTTTACAATTTTGAATAGGCTTTGTTAGCAAACCTAAAGCAATTACACTTTCCAGAAGTTCATGTGCTCCGGCATATTTTCCAACTGCATAGCTGTTGCCAAGGAACCAGTTCAGCAGTTTGCAGAAAAATGGACCTTTCTGAAAGATCCTTAAATAATTTGGAAAGTTACAGTCCACTTTCTTGTTCATAGGGAGCCTAGGGAGTTCTCTTGTTAAACAGCCAAGGCAGACCACGTGAGTCCAGAATTTAAGAACCAACTTATGCCGCTAGGATTTTAATGTGAACAGAAAAGATTGTTGAAAATCCTTCATTAGAAACTGGAATTATCAGTGGAATATTTGGCTCTGCAAAGTTAATTCTTCTTGCATCAGCCGAAAAGTTCTCAAATGTAAAACTATACTGATAGCATGGGATTTACTACTGTTACATATATGGCTTTTGCATAGTGAGGAAATAGGAAATAAGCCCCATGAGAATGTTTTTGTCAAGCTAAGCATGCATCTTGAGCGCGTGTTGAGCTGTACCAGATGAAGAGAACATGTTTGGGTCTGTGGATTTGCTTATGAACTTCACGTATGTTTTCTAAGAAGTCATTATGTTTACAAGGAAATAACAGAAATTGTTATTTCTTGAGCTTTGTGATGGGTCATGTAATAAAGGAAGAAGTTTAGGCATTTTGTTCTCTCCTTTTAATCCTGTGAAAGTTCTTCTCTTTGGAGATATTAATATTTCTTTGATTTCAAACTATGTTGTTTTATTTTTCCTATTACAGCCCAACCAGCAGGAGTTCCAGAGATCCTAAAGAAAAGTCTGCACAGTTGTTCAGTGAAGGGTGAAGAGGAAGTTTTCCTGATTGGCAAAAACTTTCTAAAGGGAACAAAAGTGATTTTCCAAGAGAATGTGTCTGGTCAGTGAAAGCAACCATGATTTGGGATGATAAAAATAATGTTTGTCTAAAATTGCATTGCTATATATGCTATATGCTAAAGATGCTATATATGCATGTGCAATAAATTATGTTTCTTCACTTTCATTTAGATGAAAATTCTTGGAAAGCAGAGGCTGAAATAGACATGGAATTATTTCATCAGGTATTTCTATTTCTTTTTTGTTGTTAATAATTTGTCCTCTATAAACATCTGCAAGGATGGCCTCTTAACATCATCGAGGCAGATTTTGATTTTTATCATTGTCTTGACAAGGGTGGGCCGGGAGCAATGGCTTATTACACATCAAATGCAAAGTGCTTCCTCGGAGGAACTGACTGCAGAGAGATTTCGCTTGCTCTCTGAAAATGCCACGCGGGGCTCGTATTAAGGCTGAAAAAGATACCAAATAGTTCTATTTTCAATTAATAATATGAGTAAGGAAAAATATCTTCCTGTCTTTGAAGAAAACAAAAAATATGTTTTTAAGCACAACAGCATATTAACTGTACTTGTATCACTTTTATGATACTTTTGCTAATGGAATTATGCCTAAATTTAACCTTCCTCATCTTCTGTGCTTAACTGAATAATAACTTCTAAGCCAGTAAATTATTTGTGTTACTGTTCTCTATAATCTTTGTCAGCTCACAAGAAGCAAGATGGTTCTGAAAAAAAATGAACTGTTACAAAGGCTTAGAAAGATTTTTACTTTTATTTCTTAGCCCAGGAGCTGCACTGTACTGAGCCCAAGTAAAAGTAATATTATGAACTTCCTGATTTATGCTGTGTCTGACTCTAGTGGAGATTCTCTTTCTAAAGAAAATGTAGTAAGCCTTTCCCTCTGAGCTGGCATGTGGTGGCTTTCACTTGGGAATTAGGAATCAGGTTGATTGTCTTTTCTTTGAGTGCATTTTTATACATAGTGTCCCTTTTCTTCAAATCTTCTTTACACAATGGTTATCATTTAGTACCTAATCTGAAACTTAGATACCGCTGTGGGAGTGTTGTGTTTGGACTTGGAAAGCAAGGCTTAATATCATTTAGATTAGGTATCATTAGATTACTGAGTGGAAATACATTGTTTGTAAATCATATTCTTTATACCTGGCTGAATTTCTGTCAGTATTTGATGTTTTTTCCAACAAATTTGTTTATTCTTTTTGACACAGCTTAGAGTTAAATCAGCCTATGTATAGCATGAAACTGCATCCTCCGCCTCAAGGTTCACCTTAAATACAAAGATCTGATTAGGCAGAACAGTAAAATCTCTGCTTCCATCAGAATTTTCCTTCATAGTCTGATTTCAGTTCAGTAAAGGCTTAAGTTAATGTTAAAGGTGCTATACTTCATATGATTTTCCTACCTATACTTGCCAGTGAAACTGTAAACTGAAAGTAAACATCACATAAGCAGAACATTTTCATGTTTCTTCTAGCTCAAATTAGTTAAACTTGCTTCACTGAAAATATAACTTGATCACATTCCCCTAATATTTTTTTTCTTTTTATCATCTTATTTTTCTCCCAATGGGTGTAGCTATAATTAAGACTTGAACCAATGTGGATTCTTTTGTTCTTGCAATGCAGAATCACCTTATTGTGAAGGTGCCACCATATCATGACCAGCAAATAACCTCAGCTGTTTCTGTGGGAATATATGTGGTGACCAACGCTGGAAGATCCCATGATGTGCAGCCATTTACATACACTCCAGATACATGTACGTAAAATAAAGTTGCAGAAAGGAACGGACAGTTTTACCTCTAAGCATCTCCTTTCTATTGCATAGTGTTTAATCCATACAGCAGAAATATTAAGTAATGTGGGAAATGAACTTCTCCAGTTGGTGAGATTTGATCTGTTAAATAATGAAATCTGAGCACTTGGGTTTTTTTCTTCACATGGAAGTAGTTTAAATTTAAGCTGCATGCAGGCAGCTGATTTCATATAGTAGCATCCATTGCTAGCCAAATTTTCAAACTGGAGCTGATTAGAAAAAGAAAAAGTAGACATGCAGGGCACCAAATGCAACAAGAAAGAAAATATCCTAAGGAATGCTGAAGCTTCTCCATTTCTTCATGTATATCACAGTCCACATTACAATTGCTCCCTGCCTTTTCCATTTTTAGAACTAAAATAAACTGGAGGCCTTAGTATCTATACAGACTACAACTAAGTGGTGTTCCTAGAGCATTTAATATAATCTACAACAATTTTAAGAGCAGATTAAATACCGTGCTTTTTCTGTGTGAAAGAGCACTCATTTTACGTAACTGCAGCAAACTGGCAGTGTGGATATTGTAAACAGCACAGGCAGTCTTTTAAAAAAGTACATCTGTACAACTTTGCATGAGACCTTTGGACTAAAATTAGGTAGGAACAGCTGCTTTTAGTTCTACTCTTATATGTATAGGATTTTGTTTTCAGAAGTGCTTCAGCTTAACCTTTTCAAAGCTGTTTGCTGTTAATTTGCACACATACTAGCCAATATCCACTGACTAGATTTTGCAGTGGTCAGGAAATTGTCATTTAATATCTTCCTTGATTCAGTTTAAGTTCCTTATTTAAACAGTTTAGAGCTTTTCATTCCACACAGTAGTCCCTCTTATCCAGGGGAAGTGAGCTGAGGTTTTTGATAGACCTTAGGGTGTTTCTGGAATGTGTAGCAGTAGTGTCATCTTCCCTCATGAAATAGAACATCCATGTTCATCCATACCTAGGAAACTGGCTTATTTATGGAAGCAGCAGCAAAAGTCTGTGTGTGTTTCCATCTCCCTGGAAGTAAATTGGAAAAAAAAAGAGGATTTTTTTGATGATGGTTTTGGATTCTATAGACTGTTTTGTCTCCAGGCTGAATGCAATCTGAAGTTCACCTAGCAACCACATCAGCTTTACATTTCATTTCAAATCTGTTCCTCATTTCATACTCCATAGAAGCTTTTTTGAACAGTAGGAGAATATATCAGCTGGCTGTAAAATTCCTCTTTCTTTAGGGTATAAATAATACACGGGAAGGAAAAATCATCTCACTTCTTTTTGCATCCTTTTTGTCTTTAACTACATGATCTCTGCTTTATTTTGGCATCAAGAAATCTCTTAATGGAAGATGCCAGCTCTGGCAGTATTTCCCTGTAGGGATTTTTAGGAAAAGCAGAAGTTCATAGTTGAGGCTTCAGCTGAGACATATTTCTAAATGTAACCTCCAGCTTCCTTGGGAGTCTCTCTGCCTTTCTTTCAAAGCCATGTGCTAAAGAGCTTCATCTCCACTTTTCAATTTGTGTATGTTTATAATGCTTTTAACCTAGATAAAGAGAATTAACCCATTCAGAATATTTTCCAGATTTTTTATAACCTTAAGCAGATTGTATGAAAGGTCAGGTTGGGTCGCATCAACATAGAGACTTCCTCTTGAGAGTTCTGTTTGTATCAAGCTATGCTATAAAATAATGAAAAATAAAAGAACAGAACTGTATTTTGCATAAAAAATGCTCTGCATGCAGGCTTCTGAAGAAGAAACAGCAATTATTTACAAAATATAGCTCTGATTCCTTGAGATACATATTTATTGCTGCACAACAAGTAGTCTTTTGCCCTAATACGGAGTCCAACTACAGGCAGATGGACGCAGGAGGAGCTGAGGTATGGCTAGATGCAGGCACTCCTTGCTTAGAGCAAAACGTGGAGTAGGAGGTGCCTCCATGTGTTGTACGCTGTGCATGGGGCAGCAGATGCTTTAGACCACTAAGAAATTGAACTTAAGTGCTCTAGTGTGTGCCCAGTCCCGAGCAGAATGTTTTCGAACACCACAGGATGTCTGTGGATTTCCTAGAACCTCCATAAGTAACCGTTTTGCTTTGCTTGCTTGCTATTGTCGTGTAAGGAAGCTTTCAATGTATTTTTGCCTTAACAGCTGGTACTCTGAATGTTAATGTGAAGAAGGAAATCTCCAGCCCAGCCCAACATTGTTGTTTTGAAGAGGCTATAAAAGGTACTAAATTGATTCTTATCAATTTAGTGAATAATTCAACTATAAATTCCTGACCAAATTTTGCAGGAATAAATCAGAGGTCCTGTGCAGATAAGTATGTGACTGTATAATCTGACAAGAGTCTTACAATGAGGCCTGTTTTCTGATTCTGAATATTTCACTTTGCAACTGTATATTTTAACATGGGATAGTATAGAACAAAAACTTTTCAAAAATAATTAAACAAGCAGTCATTTACATTTACTTTCTTCAGTGTGTTCCCCCGACCCCAACCATTCTATCCATGTTCAAGGTTTGTCGTTTTAGCCTAAGGGAGCAAGCTTTTGGTTTACTTGGCTTTGAAGCATGAGCTGAATTAAACCTTCCTATATTGGAATAAAGTATAGGAAGGACGAGTTTCTTAGCCCATTGTTAAAACTGCGGTAGTATGCAAAAAGTTATTGGAAATTTCCAAAACCTGCTCTGATGAAAGCAGCTTGAAAGGTAAGCAGATTAACAGTGTGATCACAGATTTGATAGGAATCCACCGCTTCAGGTTAAAATTATGAAGCTCATGTTTGAAGTTAATAGCTCTGCTCTGGGCCTGAGCAGTGAATAAACCTTGACATAGCATAACAACAGGACAGGGAAGATGATCCAAGATACGAGGAATTCAAGCCTGCAGAGAATGCTTGAGCAGAAATTTGGAAAAAAGATTTAGGACAATGAAACAAGCTGATAAAAATACCGTAAAGATTTCATAGTAGATAAGATTAAAAAGATAAGGATAACAACAGACATATCAGAGCAAGCCTGATGTCTGTCTAGTCTAGTATGCAGCCTTCGCCCTTGGAAGGTACCAGATTCTTCCTGAAGAACTTATCCAGGCATGCTGCATTAGGTGGGTAGGAGATAATGTTCTGTTGTTATTGGTCCATGTCCTCCTATTTAAATTGGTAGAAGAAATGATGATGTATTTTCTTGTAGGGGTTCTGCTGCTAGCCAGCTCTTTTTTGGCTGTTCACTCCCATGCCTGTTCTGCTGGAGGCTGAACAAGAACCTGAGGACAGGCAATTTTGTCAGTCGTATGCGGTGTCTGTGTACATCCTACCCCGTCCTTCCTCACTGCCCGGGAATGATGAGGAGCAGGGCGGGATCCAGTGGGTCCTAACTCCTTGCTGTTCTTTTGCACTGGGAACAAAATCCTAGAACTTGTGATTTTTTTCAAATGGCAGAATTTGCGACAAACCTGACTAAATTAGAATAAGCCAGAGTTGCCAGGCCCATGTACTGCCAGGCACGTGTAATGAACTAAACAGAAGCAAATTTAATCTTTGTCTTGCATATCTGTGAATATTCTGTGTTAAATCCTTTCTATTATAGCATCTATGTATGTGGGGAAAAAAAAAAAAGAGAAAAAAAAAAAACCCACAGCTTCCCAAAACAATTTAAATTCAAGCTCTTGCGTACTTTGAAAGACTGTTGCAGATTTGACGTATTTCAGTGACAAGGTTCATTTCAAGACAGCAGGCTAGAATTCTAAAACTAAAATTTGAATTCTAAAATTCTAAAATCCAGATGGTGAGTGCAGGGAACCATGCTGCAGCCCCTCGCCTGAGGAAATGCCCTCCCTGCTACCATTCAAGCAATGTATAGCGTTATTTTTAAATGGTTAATGTTGCTTTCAGTTTCCAGATTTTTTGAGGGAAGTAGGAAAGAGGATCTACATGCCTTAATTCAGAGTTTCTGAAGAGCTATTACCTGTCACATGAATTACAAAACAAACATAACAAATGACTACAGCAAAGTGTTTCTTTGCATTGAAACTTCTCTCATTTCTTTCTACTGTTCTTCATTTTTCTAACCTTCTAACCAAACATACCACTGAGAACTGACATACTATTGCGAGCATCTAACCTGTATACCTTTGGGATCCCTTAAATTATTTATATATTATATTTTCATCATTTCTGATGAACACAAAATGATTAAGCACATAACAGACGCTTGTAAATTGTGACTTTACAGTATAGAAAAATACATAGCTCTGTTTAAATAAAGTCTGTGAAGAGCTGTTTTGAAGTAAACTTATTTTACTTTAAAACTATTTTAGAAATCTTGTTTCAATCTAGTTGCAGTCCCTGCCAACAGCTCAGGTCATGTGGCTTGTATTTTTGGAGCTATTCTAAACTGTAAGGTTTAGAAGGAAGAGGAAGAGAGTTTGGTTGGCAGTTGACATACAGATGGCTGTGAATTTATTACCGAAGATGAAGTAACATTTCAGCGGAGGACATTTGGTTTTACATAGAATAGAATTACAAGAAGTATCACTGAGGATGTGGAATACTGTTGATATAAATTTGCTCAACGATTATTAAGCTCAATTTATTTGAGTAGTATTTGATATCAAGAAAGGCCAGTTTATCATCAAAATCTCAGCTTAAGTAGAATTTTGAACATAGGTCAGAAAAAAAAAATTTAATTTCAAGAAGCCACATTCCTACTTGACAATGAAAAAAATACTAAAAGACACCAAAGGCAAAACCAGATCTTGCTCACCTATCATACTAGAGAGCTGTCATGTAGATTTAATCAATTTTTTTCTTGATGAGTCCTTCAACAGAAAAACAAAATGATTGCTTTTATGAGCCCTTAGTTCATGTGCTTGTTGGAAAATGGACTTTATTTTTTTCTTCAAAATGGAATATTATAATTGCACTGAGTTTAAAATTTGTTAATTTGGAAACAATATATTAAGCTTTTGCATTCAGGCAGTCTGTGGATGGCTCTCCTGTTCTAGAAAGATGTGAAATAAATCAGGAAGGCAAAAGTATAGTATTACGATTAATCTTAAAAAAAAAAATTTAAGGTTTCAGTTGTTCTCCAGAATGATTCCAAATTGTTTGTAAATGTTTGCAGTGATCCTCATTTTAGGATCTAGTATGAGCAAAAGAGCACTTACAGGAGAGCTGAAAATTTATGGTTGGAAGTATTAGAAACAATTAGAAATTGTAAAATGATCACCAACCATTCGCCTTTCTTTTTTGTATTTGAATCTGCAGCAGTGAAAGCCACTGGTTGTAACCTGGAAAAGGTAAATATTCTTCCTAGTGCCTTGATAACTCCACTCATGCCAAGCAGTATGATTAAGAATGAAGATGTGGCTCCAATGGAAGTAAGCGCAGAGAAGAGATCCCCCCCCGTCTTCAAGGTGAGTTTGGCTGTGACCCGAAGGTACTTGCTTGTAGTGCTCTTAGCTAAGCTTGGCGATCAGATCAGAATGGTTGAGGTTGGGGGGGACCTCTAGAGATCATCCAGTCCAACCCCTGCTCCAGCAGGGACACCCAGAGCACGGGGCACAGGGTGGCATCTGGATGAGTTTGGAAGATCTCCAGAGGAGACTCCACCTCCTCCCTGGGCAGCCTGTGCCAGGGCTCGGGCACCCTCACAGCAAAGAAGTTCCTCCTCACATGGAGATGGAACTGCCTGTGATTCAACTAACACCCATTGCCCCTTGTCCTGTCAGTTTGTGTTCTAACAGTGCACTGCGGAGATGAGTAGCACCTGGGGAAAGTGTCATGCTGAAGAGGAGTCTATGCTAAAAATATGCACACAGAGCATAGATAAAGTAATAAATAAATTGCTTTTGAAAGTAACTCACCTTGTTCCTGCATTGAAAAGGATTCATTGCATAGTGCTGTGATGATTTTTTTCCCCTGTGACACATTCACTGTAAGAATATTAATAATTTAATAATTTCCTAGCATTGCTTTTGTTAAATGAATTGTGTCTTGGCACTTTCCCAGTCATTTGCTTGCTTCTCTTTAGTTATATATGAAAACATATGTAGACTGCAGATTTTCTAGCGGATCTTTCCTGCATAGTGGGATGCTAAAAATTTCTAAATGTGATCTGAGTAAGCATATGATTTGTAATGTATGGATTTTCTTCAGGCTTCAAAGGTGGTTGGACCAGCTCAGCAAACATTAGAAAACAGTATGTCCAGCATATCAACTTCTGCTTCCCATTTACCTTCCGATAGTGAAAAACAGCAACAAATACAGCCAAAAGTGTTTAATCCAGAGACTCTGACTACTATTCAAACGCAGGACATTTCGCAGCCTGGTAGTTTTTCAGCAGTCTCTACTCCAGGTCAGCTGCAGAACAGTGATGCATTACTGCAGCAAGCCGCGCAGTTTCAGACAAGAGAATCCCAAACCAGGGAAGTTCTGCAATCGGATGGCACGGTTGTAACTTTGTCCCAGTTAACTGATGCCTCTCAACAGCAGCAGCAGTCTACACTAACAGAACCGGCGCAGGCGTTACAGCAACAGATTTCGTCAAGTATTTTCTCATCTGCAAGTAGCGTGAGTCAGTTACAGAACACTATACAGCAGCTGCAAGCTGGAAACTTTCCAACCAACACTGCTACTGGCAGCAATAGAAACGTTGAGTTGGTGCAGCAGGTCTTGGAAGCTCAGCAGCAGTTATCTTCTGTTTTGTTTTCCGGGTCAGACAGCAATGAGGATGTTCAGGATCAGATTAATGCAGATATCTTTCAGCAAGTAAGTCAGATACAAAATAGTGTCAATCCTGGGAAATTTTTCTCATCAGAGACAGCTGTCCATTCCAGACCTGAGAACCTTTTGCCTGGGCGAGCTGAAAATGTTCACTCCCAGCCTGAAAATCCCCTCTCCAATCAGCAGCAACAGCAGCAGCAACAACAGCAGGTGATGGAAACTTCTGCAGCAATGGTGATAGGAATGCAGCAAAACATTTGCCAAGCTGCAACACAGATGCAGTCTGACTTGTTCTCTTCAACGACTTCAGGAAATGGAGCCCTGCAGCAGTCACCTGTTTACCAGCAAGCTTCTCACATCATGAGTGGGTTATCGACAAGTGAAGACATGCAAATGCAGTGTGAATTGTTCTCTTCATCTCCTGGTGTTTCTGGAAGCGACGCTGCTCCTGCTGCTCAGCAGCAAGTTTCCAACAATGGACCTGCTATGTTTCAGACGTCAAATGCGGCAGATGGAGAGGAGACTTCAGGACAGAATAAACAGATGCAAAGTACTGTATTTCAGACCATGGTTCAGATGCAGCACAGTGGAGAAAGCCAGTCTCAAGTTAATCTTTTTTCATCTCCAAAAAACATGATGACTGTTCAGGCCAGTGGAACTCAACAACAAGGAGGTGGTCTGTTCCAGCAAGGTGGAGAAATCATGTCTATTCAGTCAGGAAGCTTTATGCAACAGTCGCCACATTCACAAGCTCAGCTCTTTCAGAATCCTATTGGTGATGCTCAAAATATGCCCCAGGAAACACAAGGTTCTATTTTTCACAGCGCAAATTCCATTGTCCATAATCAGACCACTACCAATTCCTCCGACCAGCTGCAGCCTCCCATGTTCCATTCCCAGAACACCATGGGCGTGTTGCAGAGCTCATCAGTTCCTCAAGACCAGCAGTCTGCCAACATGTTCCTTTCCCAGAGTTCAATGAGCAACCCTGCAACTCAGGAAGAGCAGATGTCATTCTTTACAAACCAGAATTCAATTTCTCCTCTCCAAGCAGCCACAAACACGGAGCAACAAGCTTCTTTCCAACAGCAAACACAGATATCTCATATCCAGAGTTCCATGCTTCCCCAGGAACAGCCTCAGACTCAGCCTACTCAGCAAGGTTTGTTTCAGTCGCAGGTTTCACTAGGCTCCATCCAATCTAATCCAATTCCCCAGGGCCAACAAGGAGCTATCTTCCAGCCTCAGCATTCAATAGTCACTATTCAGAGTAGTCCTCCATCTCAAGAACAGCAGCAGCAGCCGCAGAACATGATGTTCAGTAATCAAAATGCAATTAATACAATTGCTCCTCAAAAACAAAATATGATTTTCAACCCAAATCAAAATCCAATTACTAATCAGGAGCAACAAGGTCAATCCATTTTTCACTCGCAGACTAACATGGCATCTATGAATCAGGAGCAGCAGCCCATGCAATTCCAGAATCAAACTACGGTGTCTTCAATTCAGAATCCTGGATCCAACCAGGCTGAATCGCAGCAACCAGCCATCTTCCACAACTCGCCCCAGATTCAGCTGGTCCAAGGGTCGCCAAGTTCTCAAGAGCAACAAGTCACTCTCTTCATCTCCTCAGCTTCCATGTCTGCGTTGCAGAACAGTATGAGCCAGCAAGAGCTGCAGCAGTCGCCTATCTACTCTTCTCAAAACAGCATGGCAGGAATGCAAGGAACTGCTTCTCCTCCACAGCAACCAGCATCTCTATTTCACAACACAGCGGGAGGTGCCATCAACCAACTGCAGAATTCTCCTGCTTCGTCTCAGCAGACTTCAGGGATATTCCTGTTCGGCATTCAGAACAGTAAGTTGTAGATCCCTCATGCTGAGCTCACGATTTAAAAGAGCTAGTAGTTGGGTGTCCTCAAGACTATGAATATTCTACTTCAATTTAATTGATGTTTTGTTTGTTCTTGCCTTATTCCCAACAGACTGTGGCCAGCTCCTAACTTCTGGACCAGCTGCGCTGCCCGACGAGCTGATGGCGATAAGCCAGCCTGGTCAGCCACAGAGCGAGGGGCAAGCGGCGGTGCCAGCCCTGCTCTCCCAGCAGCTTCCCGAGACGTCTCCTCTGCCTTCGTCCATGGCGGCCAACCAGAACATGGAGAAAATAGACGATCTGCTGGTGTCCTTGCAAAACCAGGGGAGCAACATGACTGGCTCGTTTTAGTGAGACAAGTAAGTAGCGTGTTTGAGTCTACGGCTCTCTGCTGTCATGCAGTTTGTTCAGTAAGTTTTTGAGCGTCCTTGTGCTAAACGTAACGAGTGATTGAACTTTGGAGTGTCTCACTACGTTTTAAGAGGTCAGATAAAATGTCAGTAATGCTGAACTAAGAGTACAATACAAGTGGTTAGAGCGAAGAGTTATTTATTACAGCCAGAGAGGGCAGAATTTCTGCAAACCGGTTGGCCGAGGTTGGGTTTTGTTCTTTAGCTGCTATGAATTTTGTCACCTGCTGTTACAAGGCAGGTACTTTGTTAGAAAGCAGGAATGAGTGGATTGCTGATGGCTTGGCAGATAAAAGCTCTGTGGACTGTGACTCTATTTAAAAATTGTAGGTGTACTGGGTAAAATTACACCTGAAATTGGGACTTTTTTGAAATTGTCCTGTGTGCAGTAATATAAAGGGAAAAGAGGTGCAAGAAAAGAGGATGTGGAGGGTAGTGTGTGCACCACATCCTGAATCTGTTCAAAATGAGTTAATGCAGTTGGCACTTGGGGCTTATTTGAAAGCAAAGCCTAAGTCCAGAAGGACTCTGGAATCTGGAATTGTCCACCAGATAACTGTAACTGATAACTGATGTAACTTGGTTTTACAAACTGTTTTGCCGTCCTGAACCCTCCTTAAGTTTTGCTGAAGTGATACATTTCTATTTCTAAACTAAACTGATAAATGATATTAGGAAGTAAGAAATGCATATATACATATATATATACACACACACATATATAGGACAAGGTAATCCCCCTTGTCCTGGGCTATGCAAGCGTGCTGCATTATGCTGTTCGCTCATGGTTTCTTTCTGCTGGTCAATGGCATTTTCAAGATGAAGGAACTACCTAAACATCAGAGGATGCTTTTTGTTGGTTTAGCTTAACGGTCTTGCTTGCTTATTTTCTTCCTGCAGAAAATCTATGAAGAAAAAGCTGATGATTTCCCTGATCTTCTCAGACCTTGTGACTCGGGATTAGGCTGTGTGGAACTGATTGCTTCTGTCAAAAAGTGGCCCTCTTCTCTAAAGAGCACATACGCGGCCTGCTGCAGTGTATTGCACCTGAGGCTCTAACCATAGTATTTGAGATTCCTGGTGCCAATAATGGTTGAAAAGCTATGCTTTGTTTTACTGGGGCGTGGAGCTGTGCTGTTCCCACGTTCCTAGACCTCACTAACAGGGGGGCTCTCTTTGAATTTAAAGCATATCTGGTCAGTTATTATTGTTGTTAGAAAATAGTACATGTTACCACGTTTACTTTTTTTCCCCCTCTTCTTCCTTTTTTGCATCTCCTCTCTTGACTAGAGAAGCTTACGGAGCAGAAACGTCAGATGCTTGTGACATGAGCTGTGACTCCTAGCATAGCTGCCAGTCACTGAAGGGATCACACATTTTTCAGTAGAGCAGGAGAGCTAGTGCCGTGGTTTGGAATTGCCGTAGGTGATGAAGAAAATTCCAGTAAATATAACAACCAAGCAGAGAATTGCTTGTTACTGTAGATAGCCGGACAGAGGTGGGTGCTTCCCATCGGAGAATGTGATTAACGGTTTTATCTGTCTCTTACATGTAATTGTACATAAGTTTGGTGGCTCTAACAAAATGAAGAAATGAAGGGGAACTTTCAAAATAAATTACATTCTTAAATTTTTACCTTTTAAGATACCTTGAGATTGAAAGGAACAATCTGTGTGGCCGAGGAAACTCCTTCATGTCTCTCACTCTGGCTGTGTAGGTCAGAACTCGTTACAGCTGCATTGCCCATGCTCAAAACAGGCTTTTCATTTCAGTTTTTTCCTTCTCCTTCCCTCAGTTTCATATTGTTTTTCTTTCTTTTTAAGAAAAGATACAACTGTCCTACTGGCTTTAAAGATCTGAAGCAGCTTTTAGGAGTTTTGGCACCTGCCCTTGTGCTATTGAATTGCTTAGTCAGTAGAAGCTTTGACAACTAACCAAGGTTTAAGGAAAGAAGAAGTGATTTTTCCCACCACCTTCCAAATGCCAGAATCCTCCTTACCAGTCATTTTCCACCTGTTACCATTGCAAATCTTAGCCTAACCCCAACCAGAGGGGGAGTTACAGCATTTCTAAGTGTCCCAGAGAATTCCTCCCAGCCCCGAGCTGCCGGCTCCCTCCATCCCATTGAGCTCACGCAGATTTGAAGTGGCTCCTCCTGGCAGCGCCCTACCTAGAGCTTCTAAATTACCGTGTTTCAATTGCAAAAAGAAAAGACGCATGTTTCAGAATGTGAAAGCAGCCCCCTGCAGCCCGTGCAGCTCTGTCGTGAGGCGCGCGGCTCCCGGGGGCTCCGGCTCTCTGGAGCTGCACGCTCCCGCCGGGAATCTCTTGTCCCCGTCCCGCGCGCAGGAGCCGTGGCTGCTGTTAGAGCCGGCAGTCCTGCCTGGGCAGCGTGGAGCTGCTGTCACGTCCCTTTCCTTTTGTTATTTTACATAACCAGGAATAGTCTGTGATTGGATCTGAGTTCCTCGAGCCGCTTCCCGTGTGTTCCTCCCCGATGTGCGTGCTTAGTTGAGCCGTGTAGAGTTTTTGTTCTTGATGTTTTTTTCCTGTTTGTCGGTCTGTCCTGTTCCTTTGCTCTTTCTGTCTCTCTCTTTCTCTCTCTCATTGAGAGGCATTGAATTACGTTTTCAGTAGTAAGGCTTCTTGCCGATATGAAGGGAACTTTTCAGAAAGAGACCTGCTCTGGGTCATTTAATTTTGAATACAGTTTTCAATCGTTCAAGTTTTGGATGGTTTATATCTAATGTGTGTTTCATTTTTTTGGAAAGCTATATTTTGTATTTAGGAAATGGTATACTATTTTGCTATTTGTACTGAGTGAGTACATTGGCATAAATATAAAAATTTATATATATACATATATATAAAATATTCTTTTGCCACACATTTTTGTGGTAAATTTGTGAGTTTGTCTGATGTTCTACCACAACGTGGCGTCTGATAACAGTGGGGTGGGGTGGGGTTTGTTATGTCTTTATTGAGTATTTAAGTACTTTTTGCAACATAAATAACTTGTTCATCTCTCGCCATTCCATCAGGCAATTTCTTGTTCCGACTGGCTATGGGAAGCTTCACTGTGTGTTTGATGTGTCTGTCACTCAGCAATATGATCTAGTAAGGAAACCCGTAGGCATTTAGGCATATATAAGTGATGGGTTTCACTCAGAATGAGCCATTCAGCTTTTATCCACTATCATTGTCTATTTAATATTTTATTATTTTAGCGCCTTTATGTTTTAACTTTTTAATTTATAATTATGCTAAAATGTTTGAAATTTTAATCATGATAAAAAAGAATTCCCTGCTTCATAATGTCCAGAACTGCTTTTTAACTCTGAACCATACTTTTTCTTCCTGTGATTTTTTTTCTTTTTTTGTGTCCTGCTCAGAAAATATATAACTAGATCCTGTTACGGTTCATGATTTGAAAAGAGCAATCTTGCAGCATTGGCTAAATGCTCTATGAGGATACGTAGAAGACTGGGAGATATGGATTGAAACAGCTTCCAGATGACTGTGGGAGTCGATAGCCAGTTATTCCACACTAAACTGGTGACTCCTGCAGTTCCCAGTCCCAGGACCAGCCGTTGGGTGTCAGCTTGGGCCTTCATACACAGAAGAAGTGCTAGGGATGATCAGTGCACTCGTATGCTGCTTCCTGTTGTTCTGAAGGGAAGTATCCTTGTTGTGAAGTGCTGTTGGTCAGTGCCAAGTCACCAGGGACCAATTCTCCACTCAATAATGTGGGTGTCCAACAGATAACTTTTTACCAAGACTGCTAACGCTCCAGGGTGAGGGTCTGAGTCGTGCCCGTATTTTAGGTTGCTTACAACAAGGGCTGTGCTATCACGTTTTTCACTTTTGGATAACACTTTCTTTCCTGTGTTAAATTTATCTTGTCCATTTTAGGTCAATGTTTAAATGTACAACACTTGGAACACGTGATTTGGTTACAAAAAGTATTTGTCTTATGAACGAAGAGGTTGCTCAGTGGTTGATTAGTGCCTGAACGGCTGTTTGCAAGCAGGAAAATGGCTTGAGAGCCAAGAAGGAGCCTAAAGACAACCTGCAGGATTTCATGGCAGAAAGACCCGAGAACAGCGTGAGCCGCATCTGTATTTCATCAGAACCCTGTTTCCTGGTGTGATTTAAGCAGCTCAGAGTTGGAGCTTGCCCTGCGTTTTGTTTCCAGTGCCCTCGTGCACTCCCGCACGTGCTCGCTGGCCTGCAGAGCTCGAGGCGGTGGCGTTGCGCCCGGGCACTTTCCTTATGGAGCTTAGAAAATATGGAGGGGAGAGCCTCGCTCAAAGGAAAGTTCCTGCCATTGTTAGAAAGGAGAACTTCGTATATCCACAAAGCAACAATTAGCTACAGACAATATTACTACATTATTATATTAGGTGAAAAAAAAAGAACTCTACAGCTGCAATACTGGGATGGATTTTCTCTGTATTGCCCTTCGCTGCTTGAGCTTTATTTTAACAAATGTATAGTCTGAACATTGTTATTTTTGTAGGTTGTGCTGTCCTGCTGTATGTGGCTCTAAAGGCCCGCTGTCTGTGCAGCATCTGCAGTGGGGCAAAGTGCTGCAGCTCCCTAGCACAGGGAGACTTAACTGCTGTCCCGCAATCTTGTCTTCCACATCCATTCCCTTGTCTGTTTTTAAAGAAATAATGGTTCATGTGAATAATATATAACACAAAATTATTCACTAACCGTTTCCTCTGGCAAGAAGAGGTTACTGGTGTTTAACTGGCAACTTCACTCACTGTCATTAATTGCCTCCTAACTGTCTGTCCGTCAGCAGATGCTCAAGCCAAACGCTTTGCTGTTACTTTAGCAGAAAAACACTTCAGGAAATAATTTAAGCCTGACTGTTTTGAAGTAGATGTTAAATCACCAAGCATTCTATTGCAGTTTTTAATTATTGGCAGGATGGTTCCTTTATTTTTAAAGCAAAGTGAAACATTTGCTATATTTTCTAAATTTGGCAATGCTTTCAGTGATAATACTAAGAGCCGGGGACAGCTCTGTCCATGGACATTCCCCTAACTTAGAGAAGTTGAGCATTTTTAAGCTTCCCTTGTGGTTTTGATTTGGGATATAATTCCCCCAAAGCAATTGAAATTTCCTTTTTCTGGCAGACCTTCTGTTCACAAACTGTCTTTCCAGAGGCTTCAGAAAGAATTCCGGATGGGTCAGGAGCTTTCACTCCCCTTAAAACATGAGTTAAAGCACTAGTGGAGTGGCAGTAAAAGATTTATTTTAAAAGTTAAAGAAAAAAAAAAAAGTTTTATTGGATTAAAAAGCTACAATTTATTGCCTCCAAATACATGCATATATATGTGTACTTGAATGCATGTGCACATTCTTTAATAGTGAAGGGTTGTACTGTCCAGTATTGGATCTTAAATCTGTATGACAAATTTTTGGGCTACCTGTTCAGGAGAGGAGTTTGGAGGATTATGGAAATTTATTAGAGTGATAGAAGCAAGAACTAGAGGGATGGGATTGCTTAGGTGCTCCGAGCTGAGTTGTAGATGGAAAGTGAAAAGAGGAGAAATAGAAATTGTTCACTGGTCACTTCTTTATAAGAGCAAAATTAACTTTCAAGGATTTGAGTGTTTTTTCCTGGCGGGAGTGGAGGCAGCTCCGTTATCGAGAAGCTAAAAGGAAACGGGCACAGAGACACTCTGTGTGTTGGCTGATGTCTCTATACGAGGCCATATGCTGGTGTATGAATGGTGCCTGGGCTGTGCCCTCTGCCCACCGAAGCCAGGACGAGAGGATCCCTGTGAAATGCGCTGTGCACCGTTCAGATCCACGGAAAACGGCAGCAGCAGCAGATAAATGTAAAATGTGCTCATATAACTCGCCAATTTAGTGTTTAGTTTTGAGGGGTTGTGTAGGAGAGGCTTTTCTTTCATATAGTCTGTATAGGTGTGTAAATATGCCTTGCCTGGGTGTTCCAGGCTTGTTTATATGTATATATTAGAATCATATATCTATTGCCTATATAAATAATTAGTATACCCATGCGTAGAATACTGATATATTTACATTTTTATAAGTCTAAAATAATTTCCTTAGCTGGAGGCTGTTTGCCCAGGTTTTGTAGTAGCTGGTTAACGGCTGTACCGACACCTGTGAGTGCTGTCCGCGTGGTGCCAGCGCTAGTGTTGTTCCCGAGCGCGCCCTGCTGTGCACCTCTTCACCAAAATCCACGGGGTTCAAGTGAGGGGACTTCTTGAAACAGCTATATACTTTTTTTTTTTTTTGGCATTTTTTATATCTTTTTATTAATTGCTGCAAAACCGATGTTAGCCACACAGTAGAGGTGACGCGGTGGGACGAGCGAGCTGCCCGCTGGGCTCGGCACCCGCTTACACCCGAGCGCGTCTCCGGCGGATCCCCCGCGGCCGGCCGGGCTCTCCCTGGGCACCCTTCCCATTCGTGGTCCTGCTTCCCTGTTCCTGCAGCAGCTGCCGCAGGGAGCCCGCCTGGGCCTCCGGGAGCTGGACCGACACGAGCCCTTCCTCCCAGAGGGATCTTCATCCTCCTCACCCAGCAGAGATCCTGGCTGCTGCTCGGCTGAGCTGCATTTGAACCCAGATGAGGCCCCATTTGTAGGTCATTCCTTTTCTGCTTACTCTGGTTTTTGCATATAAGGCAACACATCTTGCAAACATTTTTTAAATTGAGTTTGTATTGAAGAAATAATAGCTAGCAAGTGTTCTCCTTGGTATCTACATCTCCTGCCATGTTTTCGAGGTATGAGGACCATTGCTCTGACTTGCTTACAGGAGGAAATGAGAAACGTAGGAAATTAAACTCTTCAAAAGAGATCCAGATCTTAAAAGCAACAGAATGTGTTTTGCCCACCAAGGCTTTTCTTGCCAGACCTGATGTATCCCGGAGCAGTTTCAGAACAGGTTAACGAACGGGCCTCGTGGCACAGGCTTTAGCTAAGCTCCCCCCACCCCGAAAGCCACCGTCCTCGCTCTCCCTGCCCGCGCCCATGGTCCCTTCGCGCCCATCGTCTCCCGCGCGTCCTGGGCGCAGGGCCAGGCTCGGGGGCGGGCGCAGCGCGCTGCAGTGTCCCCGTTCTGTTTTCGGGTGAGCGAAAGGCCCGTGTTGGGCTGATTTAAACTGCCTTAACTTCCTTTGCCATTCGCTGCCCGGCAGCCGGTGCCGGCGCGCGGGGCCCGTGGGGCGGCGCCGCTGTCCGGCGCTCCGTGCGGGGTGACACCGGGCGCCAGGCCCGGCTCACGACACCGCAGCCTTTCCGGGTGTCCCGGCTTGCAAAACAAGGTCCAATATCCTGCTTAGAGGCGCACGGGGCGCAGGAAGCTCCTTGTTGTCGTGCGGTGAGAAAGGAGGTGGTCGGCAGCGAGCTCGCTGTACTCGTGGGTCGGCTCCGAACGGCTCCAGCTCTGCGCTGGCCGCGTCCTCTCGAGCGGCTCCCGGCCTTTCTGCCATGCCTTCCTGCCCTGCACTGATCACCCACTGAGCTGCCTTTTCCATCGTCCTGCAATGTGAAAGTAGCACCAGATACTCCTTTGTGCGTTCTGTGTATATGGCTTTCGTAGTGGGGGGGTTCAAAGCACTGAGACCCGGTGTTTTCAGTTTGTTCTCTGAGGGGATATTTCATTTGCATCTATGTTTTTAGCTATCCTGTGATAACTTGTTGAATATTAAAAAAAAATAAAAATAAAATATTTTGCTTCTATTGGGACATTTGTATACTCGCAACTATATTTCTGTAAACAGCTGCAGTCAAGAATAAAACAATGAAAGTTTTCATTTTGCAGTGTAAACTCTGGTTGTGCTTCCTGAGGGGCAGCCTCGCACTGGCAGGAGGCAGCGCGCGGAGCCGGGAGCCTCCGTGCGGCCCCGCAGCCGGGGTGCCGGCAGGGCAGACACCGGCACCTGCCCGCGGCTTCGCTGCGTCCCCAACGCGCCCTCGCATCCTGCCGAAACCTGTGATGTGTCTTGTCGACTTGGTGGCCTTCCTGGGGTGTTGCTGAGCAGGGGCACGCGGTCCCCTCCGCTGCCCGGCCATGGGGGAGGAACCGGGAAGCGCTGGTGGAAGCGGGAAGCGCTGGTGGGACATCCCGTCCAGTTCTGCTGCTGTGTTTTTCCAAGGGGCCCTTTTGAAAAGTTACAGTGTGTGTTGGGGAGGATAGAGATAAAACGGTGAAATTGTCCCGAGAGTCGGACGAAGTGCTTTATTATGAAAGATTTAGGGAGATTTGAGGAGATTAGTCTGTTTAACTTCTCAACTGCTGCTGAACTACATGTTCTGTTTAACTACAGCATCTGAGTCCTTTCACATGGAGAAAACAGCAGTTACTGAAGGGCTCTGAGCTGCACGGGACCAGGCAGGAGCACAGCGGGTGAAAACTGAGGCCAGACAGAAGCAAAATGGAGACAGAATCTGCTTTGCAAGCCCGATCTGTGCGCGGTGGCTGGAGGGAGAGGGCATCAGGCTCTCGGGTCATTTCACACCAATTTAGAACCAATTTTATGGTTCTAGTTCTTGCGTTTGTTTTTGCTTTTTTTGCAGTCATACATCCAAATAATGCGAAGGGCCACTTTTTTTTTCTTTATGCCCTGCCCTGAACCGGCTCTTGGCATTAAGACGTGCCCGTGGGCCCAGGCGCCTGGGAAGGGGCCGTTGCTGCCGGCTCTGCGGCCTCCCTGCAGCCGGGAGCGGCAGCCCCGGCCGCTCCGCTCGGGCTCTTCCCGCAGCCATCAGGCTCTCGGGTCATTTCACACCAGTTTAGAACCAATTTTATAGTTTTATTTTTGTAGCTGCTGCCCAGCACCTTCAGCAATGCTCCTTTGGCTCTTGCTGACGACCTTTTAGCTGCTTTTTATCTGTGAAAGCCCCAGTCAGCTCCTCCAGCTGATACGAGGAGCTGTTTTATTTGCATTTCTGCTGCTAGTGGGAGAGGTTGTTTGCTTTTTTTTACCTCTGCTTTTGCTGCTGCTTCTGCCACGAGGTGCAATTTGGTTTCTTATCTAACAGAAGTTGTCCAAAGGAGAAGATTTGACACCCTGTATCCCCTAAGACACAGCAGGGCTAACAGGGCAGCATCCCCTGTGCCCTCCTTTTCACTCTCCCTGGTGTCTGGGGCTGCAGCAACCCCGGCCTTTCATCACGTGCCCGGCGTTGGGGGCACTTCCATTCAGGGGAAGGGGCGGCAGTTTGCCTGGGGGCTGGACAGACGGACCGGCCACGCGCAGGGGCCGCGCAGACCCCGCTGGGCTGACCGCTGCTCCTGTCACACCAGGGGCTCATTCCTCGCGGCCGTGTGCCCCCCACCCCAAAGCAGGGCCGAGGCACCAGGGCTTGGGTTGTGTTTTTATTTGGGGCGGCACCGCTGCCCGCTGCCGTGGGGTCCCGGGGGACAAGCAGTGAGGCGCAGGCCGTGCCCTGTCCCTGGGGCTGGCAGCCGGCTCAGCTTCGAGGCCTCGTGAACACAGACGGTACCGTCCCAGGTCCCGGGCTGCTCTTTACCCATCCATAGAAGCTAAAAGGAAAAACCCGGCACCCACCCCAGGCCGCTGTCTCGGAGCAGCGCCAGGAACCGTCCCATCCTGCCAGCACCCTAAACATGGGGCGGTGACGCGCGTGAGACCCCGTGCAGGGCCCTCCCCGCCGTGCGGGCGGCAGGGTCGCAGTTCATCTCCTCTTCACAAACTTTTTGGTCACGGCGTTGGGGTTCAGGCGCCTCCGGCCTGCGCCCAGGGCCGCGTCGCGGATCTGCAGGTTGGCTGCGCGGCTGTAGACGTCGTTCTCCGCAAAGGGAGACACCCCGGCAACGTAGTCGGGGTTGAAGACGTCGGTCTTCTGCCTGGCCTTGCGCGAGAGCCGCTGCTGCGGGAAGGGCTGGTCTTCCACCAGGTGCGGGTTGTTGGCATGCTTCCCGCCCTGCGGAGCCGGCAGCGGGTACTGCGGACACGGAGAGGCGGTTACGCTCGTGCTCCTCACGGGGCTTCCCTGCTCAACGGCAGCTCTGCCTCCGGCAAGGAGCTTGGCCAAGGAAGCCCAGAAAGCCCCGGTGCTGTGGAGGGTCAGGATGGCTCCACCTTGACTGGTGCCACCAGCAACAGGAGCAGCTACTCACCCGGAGCCCCCGGGGGTTGAGCACCTTGGGGTTGCGGGAGAAGTGCAAGTGGAGGCTCCCATCGTCGCTCACGCTCACCGCAACCTTCTTCAGTGTCTTGTTACCACAGTGAGGACAAAACACCTTGCTCATGTCGGACGTTGTCCTGCAGGACAGTGACAGAGGGACTTGGTGCTGCCTGGCTCAGGAGCAGAGGCTCGGCCCACGTGAGCCAGGAAAAGCCCCAGTCCAGTTTGAAGGGGCAGAAGGAGCCCTCAAGGAGCGCTCCCGTGTGCCCAGCACTCACTTGAAGCAGCCATGGCAGCGCAGGATGTGGCTCCGGGCCTGGCGGATCAGCATGCCGTTCACCGCCAGCACGTGCAGCCCCATCTGCAGCAGCACGTTCTGCAACAAGCAGGGAGAAACGGGGCACCGGGAGGTGGGACAGCCAAGCTCTGTTTAACCGCCCAGGCAGCAAGAGGAGCCCTCGGCGGCAGAGGCCTCGGAGCCGCTGCAGCACCCACCTGCATGGCGAAGTCGGTGGTGACGCAGCCGACCTGCACGCCGGCCGGGGCGGTGTCAAAGTGCCCCATGTCCTGCTGCACCTCCTTGATGTTGCTGGGCGTGATCCAGCCTTCATCGTCACTCTCCTCTTCGCTTTCCTCCTCGGCGCTGTCCCTGTTTTCTGGCCTCTGCTGCTTCTCGTCCACCTCTGGACTGATGGTGACGGCGTGAGCGTTCTGGGGTGGGAGAGAGCGTGAGGCAGGGCCCGCAGCGCCCACAGCCTCAGGAGAGGTGCCCAGCAGAGCCGGGGCCGGACAGAAACGGGGGGCAAAGCACAGGGGAGGCTCTGGGTCTCACCAGCAGCTCCTGCAAGTCCTCCTCGATGCTGGGCAGGGGGGCTCTCCAGTAGAGGAAGGAGCTGAACTCGGGGCTCTCGGCCGGGCTCCTCTCGGGGCTGGGCAGGCGCTGCCCTTTTCCCGGCCGCTTGTGCTGGACACAGGATAGGGCCCCTCACCTGCTGCCCGCCCGAGGGCTCTGCAGGGCCGTGTCCTTGGGCCCTGCGGGGCTCCATCCCCATCCCTTACCTTGGAGAAGCCCCATCCCTCATCCTGGACCATCCCCAGCCCTTACCGGGGAGCACCGTGTCCCTGTCCCCATCCCTGTCCCTGGAGCACCGTGTCCTTGTCCCCGTCACTCTCCCTGGAGCACGGTGTCCCCATCCCCATCCCTCTCCCTGGAGCACCGTGTCCCCGTCCCCATCCCTCTCCCTGGAGCACCGTGTCCCCATCCCCTACCTTGGAGGGCAGGTGGAAGCCGGCGAGGTGCAGGGGCGCCTCGGGGTGCTGCAGGGAGGAGCTGAGCCGCACCTGGGCAGGGAGCAGGGCGGGTCGGCGGGGCACGAACGCCCCGGCCCGGGCTCGTGGCTGCCCCGGCCCGGCCCTACCTTGTCCTCGGGCTCCCGCCGCAGCCGCTCGGGCCCCACGGTCTCGGCCTCGAGCTCGTAGGTGAGGGCGAGGACCTGCAGGTCGGTGGCCGAGAGGCTGGGGTAGTCGCCCGTCTTCCTGGCGAAGTCGGTCACTGCGGGGGGACGGGGGGGGCGGGTCGGACCGGGCTGGGGCAGCGGGGGGGCGGGCAGGGACTGGTCCTGGGTGGGACCGGGACGGGAGCGACGGCGGCTCGGTGTCCTGGGAGGGGAACCGGGAGGGGGTTCGGGAGGACACGGACATGGGGACCGGGGAGGAGGAGGCAGGAGACGCTGGGATCGGGACTGGGATGGGGATCGGGACCGGGGATGGGGACACCGGGATCGGGACCGGGGGGAGGCGCCGTGTCGGGATCCCCGGGCGGGCAGGACGGAGCCGCCCGGGGCAGCCCCGGCTCTCACCGAGCCGCACGCAGTCGGGCCGCGGGCGGCGGAAGCGCAGCTCGTAGGGCAGCGCGGCCAGGCGGCGCCGCGTCGCCTTGTCGCGGATCTCGGCCACCACCTCGGGCACCGTGTACACGCTCTGCGCCATGTCCTGCGGGCAGCGCGCCGTCACACGGGCCCCGCCGTCACACCGGCCCCGCCGTCACACCGGCCCCGCCGTCACACCGGCCCCGCTCCCGGCCCCCGGCCCCGCTCCCGGCTCCGCTCCCGGCCCCCGGCCCCCGGCCCCGCC